TAAATTTCAAGATTTATGTAACTTACTCTTTAAATAATGAATCCTACTAGTTTTTTTTTTTAGCTAAAATTACCACTTTTTCTCCAAAACTTACAATTTATAAAGCTTACCATTTTTTCAAGAAAAATTTATAATTTTGTTAACAAATCTTATCACTGTTTATTAGTAAAATTTACTATATCATTAACAAGCCTTGCTAATTTTTAAGAAAAGTTATCGTTTTTATACAAAAACTTACTACTTTTTCAATGAGTACCAGTTTTGAGTTTTTTTTTTAAAGTAAAACCAGGAATTGATAGGGGGTTAGGCCTAGAGCTGACGTGTTTATTAAAAATATTCAATGAGTACTTGACAAAGAGGATATAGCTCACAATTATGACTAAATAAAAATTGGATGGGGCTAAATCCATACTTCTACGATCTAAATCCACATCCTTATAACTAAGTTGACCAAAAAACCCATAGCATTATAAGGCTTGGTAGAGACTTTTTCAATAAAAAAAAATTAGCCCTTTTTTGTTCAAAATAGATAGTTCTCATTTGGATTTAAAATTTCTATCATTATGAATGGTCTTAACATTTCTGACATTTTTTGTATTCATTTTGATGGCATTTATTTTTTCCTCTTATTTGGTGGGGAGAATGTTTTTATCTCTTTTTATCATGTTCAGAGCAGATGAGAGATTTTTTTTATTTGTGTTAAGAAATTATTTTTGCCATTTTGGCATATTGCACTTCAAAGTTGATTGAAGAATAATTTTAGAAAACGCTAATAGATCAATAATTAGGATGATGGTATCAAATAATTTCAATTAATTAAAACTTATGATTGATTTTTTAAACTTCTTTTGGCTCCATTTGGATTAGCTGTTTTTGGAGGTATTTTTTAAAAACTTTACTATAGCTGTGTATATGAAAAACTTTTGCTGTAGATGTTTTTTGGATTATTTTTAGAGGTATTTTTAAAAAATATTTTTTGAGTATTTTTATAATTTACAATTTTTTTGAGATTTTTTAAAAATATATACTGGCTCTGTTTCTATGTGTTAATATTTATTTATTTATATATAGATATATATAATATTTTTTATTTCAATTTTATTTTATAACATGTATATTTATATATAATATAAATATATTTTACAAATATAATATGTATATTAATATATATTTAATATACATTTATAAATATATATATTAATATGCATATTATAAAAAAAATTGAAATATATATATATTTATATATTTATATAAATATATATAAATAAATATATTTTAAACAAAATATTTAATATTTATATATAAATAAATATTTATTTCAATTGATATAATATATATAAAATATACATAATTGAAATATACATATTAATATTAATATAATTTATATATATATAATATAATATACATAATTGAAATATAAAAATTAAAATATACATATTAAAATATACTAATATACATATTATAAAACAAAATTGAAATATAAATAAATATAAATATATTTTTAAAAAATATTTAAAATTTATATATAAATATATATTTATTTCAATTGATATAATATATATAATATACATATTAATATATATAATTGAAATATACATATAAATATTACTATAATTTTTATACATATAATATAATATACATATTAATAGTACTATAATTTAGATATATATAATATAATATACATAATTGAAATATACATATTAATATATATTAATATACATATTATAAAACAAAATTGAAATAAATATATTTATAAATGTATATAAATATATATAAATAAATATTTTTATAAATATTTTAAAAGATTGACCATAAAAGTTTTTCTTTTGCAGTGTAATAAGCAAAAATATATTCTTTTTGGGTTAGAAGGCAATTAGCACAAATATGTTTGTGATAATACATGAGCCCTATAAGGACATTTTGGGGCTGTCGCACAAGCTTTTGGCAACATTACCAGCGGCTGAAGACGTCAAGGGGGAGTTTTGTTAAACGTTTGCTCATTCAGGGTTAGATTATTATTTGGCGAAATCTCAGGGTTTGATTGGTAATTTGATCAAACATCAAGAAAGATAAATGTGATTAATCCTTTGTTAATCCAGTCATAAATTTGGCTTAAAAAAGTAGTAGTATGTTTTGTATATAAAAATGGCAACTTTTACTAGATGTGGTAAGATTTGTTAACAAAATCATTAGTTTGCTCCATCTGAAAAGGGTAAATTCTGGAAAAAATAAGTGGTAATAATATTTTTTTCTAAAAATCTAGTAGGATTTGTTATTTAAATACTAAGTTACATAAATTAGCAAACTTACTTGTTTTATGCAAAAATTTACTATTAGTCACACCAAATTTACTACCACAATTTATGCTTATGAAAAAAAGTTACGTCATATATTGTAAAATTGTTCATAATGCAGTGCACAAGCACAGGTAAATTTTCTGGAACCGTTTGAATTAACTGGAATAATTCATCAGGGCTCTTTTTCCACACTCATCTTCAGGCGCTATTGATTCTTTTGGCCATCGATCACATGACCACACATCAATGTGTGTTAATAATAAAAGTATAAACTCTATTAAACATCAAACGAGAAAAGAACAATGGAGAAAGAACATTTTACAAACAGCGTTGGACTGAATTATGCAGTCACAAAGTTACAGCTAGCTGCATCATGTCGTACCGGAAACTTGAGAGAAGTGGCTCTGTTTCTAAGGGACTTGGCTCAATTGACTCTGTTTCTGAGCTGCTTGATTCTTCATCTGTTTCTGAGGGACTCGATCCTCCTCCTCCTATTTCTGAGCTGCTTGATTCTTCATCTGTTTCTGAGGGAGTTGATCCTCCTCCTGTTCTTCCTCCTCCTCCTATTACAATCTTTAGAACGTCATTTCCCACATCCACCTGTGCTTGTTGAATTTCTTTCACTGAACTTACAACAGACTCACCACACCCTTTCACCTCAATCATTTCAAGAGTAGCACATTCCCCTAAATAAGAAGGCACCTCTTCCAGCTTCCTACATTCGTGCACAATCAATTTCTCAAGACGGGGAAAATTATCAAAAGATGCAGTCCAGCTGCGAAATCGCAAGCTAGACAATTTCAAGGCTCGGAGGTTGGGGAATTCCCCATCTTTCATTTCCCATTCTTCCCCATCGAAGGAGCGATGGAGTAATTTAAGCACTTCAAGATTGGGCAATTTTCCAACTGTTGAAATTTCACTCCATGGCTGACGATTACGTGAGAGAGTCAACTTCTTCAAATTCAATGGGAATTTAAATCCATATCCAGCAAAAAATGATAGATTGAGCGATTCTAGTTGACTCAAAGGCTCAAACACGAGAATCCGGTCACCAATTCTGGTAGGTTCTTCTCCTGATTCGTAGGATCTCGTGCATTTTAGCTTGCGGATGCTTGGAAACTTTGTCAGTATCTTTTGCAAGCTTTGAGAGGAGGGATCAATGGCAAGGTTTAAAGTCTTTAAATGATCTAAACGCGGGGATACCTCAAGATTTTCAATGGTAAAAATAAAACCACAATCGTCACCTGCATATAGATGCCTCAATGTCTTAATGTTCCAGATGGTCTTCGGTAAATAGCACATTGAGTTTCCTTCTATCCAAAATGTTTGCAACCTTGAGAGGTTGGCTATTGCAGATGGGATGGATATTACTCCTTTAGTATCAACCAGCAAGAATCGCAAGTGAACAAGCAATACTAATTCCGTCGGAAAATCTGCAACAAACTTGACGCCTCCCAAAAGCAACACTCTAAGAAGTTTAGGTAACGAAAACTCCAAATCCAACGGAGAAAAAGAAGAACCTTGATCCAACATGATGGTGCGTAAATTAGGAAAAGACAGCATTAACTCCCGAGTCTTCAATTTCGTGGAATTTGCATCATGAACTCGGTAGGGGTTGCTTAGGCTAGTAAGACTAAAAGGATCTTTCCCACGACGAATAATATGTATAAAGTTCTCTTCTTTGATTTTTCCTACACAAAACTCGTGTACCAAACTATGAAGCCTGCAGCTTTTGGCACCACCCATACTTCTTTGTTTGATAACCATAACTAAACTTCTATCAACCAGAGCCTTCAAGTAGTTGTCGGCCACATCCTCCAAGTCCTTTCCTTCAGTTTTTTGTACAAATCCTTCAGAGATCCAAAGCCATGAAAGACCGCTGACACGAATGCTTTTGCCTTCTGAAAATGCACAAAAGTAAAGAAGGCATGATTTCAAATCATCGGGTAAATGACTATAACTCAGCTCAAGTGTCTTCCTGCAGTATTCATCGTCAAGAATAATACTGGAACTTAGACTATTTGCAACTTCTGCCCAGCAATCTTCAGCAGTATTAACTAGAATTCCAGCCACAAGGACAACTGTGAGAGGCAAGCCCCTACAAAATTTTGCTATTTGAGATCCAACTTCAATTAGTCTCGGAGGACATCCTTCTTTGCCAAATAGCTTTTTTTGCAGCAATTTCCAACTCTCTTTATCAGTAAGCTGGCGGAGATGGTGAGCCTTGCTATCGGGGCTGAATTGCAATTCAATTCTGCTGGTAAAGAGAATCCTGCTTCCATTACCATCATCAGGCAATGAACCTTTGACCAAATTCCACACCTCAATCTCCCACACATCATCCAAAATAACGAGATACCTATTTCCCTTCAAACGCTTGTAGAGCATTTCAGCCAAATCATCTTCGTCCATCTTAAGATATTGGCTGTGACTCCCAGCAGAAATACTACACAAAATCTGAAGTAACAAATCATGTATGCTATATACTTGATAAACTGTACACCAAGCAAGGATATGAAAGTGGCCTGAAATTAATGGATCATTGTAAACTCTGTTGGCCAATGTTGTCTTACCAAGTCCAGCCATACCCACAATTGGAACAAGATCCAACAGCTTTGAACCCCTCGTAAGTCTATCAATAATTGTCTTTACCTCATCATCAAGAACTTCATTCAACACTGGGGTGCTACGTTTTGACTCAATGTGGAAAGATTTCCGGTTAGTTCTCTGAGCTCCAGTGTCATGCCTCGTGCACTCATATGTTTCAATCTCAGTCCTCAAAAGCTGGATATCTCTGACAACACTTTCCAAATATTCGTGTTTATCACCAATCACAATAGAGTCAATGACAAACTCTGTCCTGTAAGCAACCTCTATAACACGACTCCAAAGAGCTTGGAGTTTTCCATTCCGGTTGCGCTGGTCTACCATCTTGCCAAGAAAAGATCTTAAGAATACAAGATGATCTAGGACTGTGTGGATTTGATCATTTGGGAATGCAATTGAATCATCAGCCCCATTACAACTTTCCAGTTCAATCAGATTTTCAAGGAGAAAATCCATAGAGCCCAACTCATTGGTTCTAGGAAAACCAAATGGCGATACTGATGTTACTGGATAAACCTGTGCAACTTCTGCCCTAACAAACTTGAGCAATTTGAGCAAATGAAAAAGAGCAAAATCAGTTTCCTTGGCCAAGCCTTCTTTGATCAATTGATTCACAGAAAGGGAGAAAATTACTATTGCTGCATCACAGACCACAACTCCAATAAGACTCTTCATTTCAAGGCGTAGCTCTTTGAACTTCTCCGGATGCCTGAGAAGGGTTGACAGGAACCTTAGCCCGTCAAGGAGTTTTTGCATGTGAAATATGATTGGAACCAGAATACTGGTACAAGATTCTAGTAGCTCTGTAATATTGTGAACAAGACAATCCACAAAGTCAACTACTATATGCTTATTCTTCTCCAGAGCTGAAATGTCTGATGATCTTGACAACTTTGAGGCAGTCAAGACATGGGTATAAGTTTCTCGAACTCGTGGATCAGTGGGAATAATCTTCTCACCTATTAGTTGAGAAATTTGAAGTTCCGTTTCATTGCGTACTTCACCTTCTCTGTCAAACCACCATATAGAAATCAGGCGGAGTGCATTGATAGCCACCACTTCAGAGTGAATTAAGAGATCCATCAATTGCTGACCCTCGACACCGTGAAGCATGGCAAATCGAATGAAACTTTTCAGGAACATTAGCTTCTCTCCAAGGGTTTCGAATACTTCCCTTTTGCGAAGCTTTGACAGATTCTTTGAAACCGAATCAATGAAATCAATAACTAGATCAGGAACCCTCAGCCAGTAATGGTCCAACAGAAAGTTGATGTTAGATTCCTTGATATCTGTCTCGAAAAACAGCTCGATTGCTTCCTGGAATATGGTGAGCTCACTTTTGATCTGAGTCAAACCAGGTAAACGAGAACGCATCAAGTATTCCCAGCAAGCAAAATCAAGGTCTTGCATTCCTGCGATAATCAGACTTTGAATTCTGAAAGAAGTAACATCCTTCTCCTCCACATCTTGTTCCAGACAGATTTCATGGTTCCTCCTCCTCTTCCTCTTACACTTTGTCAGATACAGATCAAAGCTTTGTAATAAGCTGACCTCGATCTCCAGACCCTCGATATAAAAGTGCAACTCATATTTGAAGGTCTTGTTCAACCAGTCCAGATAATCTAGAGCGAAATCAAAGCAATCAGTGCTACTACTGCAGGATATCTCCATTATTATTGTAACTTCTATCCACTCTGAGATCAGATTTGTGTCTTGAACTTAGTCAGCTATTGCCGGCGAGACTCTTTTCTTGTTACAAGTTGCAACTTGCCAGGCTAATTTCTAATCTTGCCCTGTTGTGCTCATGGAGACGTGAGGGGCCTAAACGAGCCAGCTGCCAAAGTTCATTCCCATACAGTGGACTATTTTAGACGGCGTAGAAAATGACATACATGACAATGAAAAGTCACCGTGACTAATAATAAAATACTAGCCCAACATTGAACGTTCGAGCTGAAAATATGAAAATTGAAGAAATAAAGCATCCCCTTAAAAATAAAATTAGTGTACTTAAACAATTATGGTGTTATACTGGGTGAATTTTTTGGTTGTTCGCTCTATTTCTCTTACTCTGATCTGTTAGTTTAATCATATTTATAACTATTTACTCACAAATTTTATAATACAAGAAGTCTTTGTTGTTGAAGTAGCAGTAAGACTTGAAATGGAACCAAATCCGTCCCAAATTGATCCCCCTGCAATGAAAGGTGTTTCAAACTAGTATCTACATTAATGTTTAAAAGTCCAACTCTAGCATCAAGAGTTCTTTTCCTAAAAAGTAAAAATTTCGTTTTAATTTTTCTCATCACTCTTACATGTTTATGCTCTAGTTTAATGGGTCAAAATCTCAGGATTTAAAGATTTTGGGTTTAAAATTTTAAATTTCCCCTCCCGCCTCTTGAAAATTCCACACAGCCCTACCAAAAATAAATTTAAAAATATAACAGCTTAAAGATATTTTCTTAGTTACCATCAAGTTTGACCTCCAAGACAATAAAGGAGCCTTTTGTTATTAAAAAGAAGGGTAAAAACAAAAAAACCCTTATGGTAAGCCTTTAACAGATTCCGTCACCTTTACAATTTAGTTCAAAGCATGAGGGGTCGTGTTGTATATTTTAAAATCATGAGGAACTTTTCTGTGTATTAGATTTATCACAGGGAATTTTTTTATTTTTTACCCTAAAAAGAATTGTTCAACTAAAACATACTTTAAAAAAATAAATAATCACACATTGTTCATAACTAGGTTCAATTAAGTCATTTTCCATATTCTTGGTCACGGTGCAACAGCAATCTAAGATTTGAGGGACCAGTCTAGCTTCTTGTCAGTCTAAGATTTGAGGGACCACACAATTTTCTATTGCAAGAAACAAAAAACAGTAGTGCTATTTCTTCACAAGATCACCAGTAATTCTTGTTAGTGGGATCAGTGCTAACATATTACAGTTCCCATAAATTCACAACTTGTAAAACTAGATATCATGGTCACGGTTCCAGAACCGCCGGTTCTTCAAAGAGGTAGAATCAGAACTACACCATATAAGATGGTTTTGGTTCTGGTTCTAAAACCGCCGGTTCTGGTTCTTCAAAGAGGTAGAACCAGAATCGCATAGTTCTGATTTCGGTTCTTTATGGTTCTGGTTCTGGTTCCGTATGGTATCCTACAATTTTATTTAATTCTTTATCCTTACCATACGAATATAACAATATATTTAAAATTTCAAATTGAATGTACAAAAATAAATACAAAATAAAGATCATATTTTAATTTTATTATTATTCTACAAAGTAAGAAGTAATAAATAGACAATACAAATTTTATGAAAAGTACATTATATTATCAAATTAAAAAATACATTACACTATCAAATGGTTGTCATGTGTTGACTTTCTTGAGTTGGACAATCATCAATGTTGAAGATTTCATTTGAAGAAATATTGCAAAAAATATTTTTTTTGCTTGCATGATTTTGAAGATGAGCTACTACCATCAAAACTTGCAAAACTTGCCATTTTTTGATAGCAAATAAGCAAAAAAAAAAATTGTAAGTAATAATTTAATACTTACAAATTATAATGATAGATATTAGACGAATAGAAATAATTAAATAATTAGTAAAATATATAGAAAGTCCATAAAATTTAAACTTTCTTAAAACCTATTAAACACAACTAATTTTTTTGAATTATCTCACTACTTATATTAATTATTTTTAACGGTTCTGAAACCGGCGGTTCTGGTTCTGGTTCTATTTTTAGAGAATCGGAACCGGAACCTTTATCCAAGGTTCTGGTTCCATGGTTCTGGTTCCGGTTCTGATCCGATTCCAAACGGTCCGGTTCCTGGTCCGGTTCCCAATTCCAAATGGAACCATGGCCATGCCTAGATATCATGGTATCTAACTCTTCAGTGCTTATGCAACAATCTTATGATTTATATTTTCTTCCTTTTAACCAAGAAATGGAATTGCTTAATTTATTGGTCAAGTCCCAACACCAAGTTGGATTTGAGATGAGAGAACAATATCAGATCAAAAGTAAAGCAACTATACCCTACATAAAGCAAAGTCATGTCGGCCAAATCCATAATAGATTCATAATTGAAAACTTCCAAAATCAACCACATTATGTTGTCTAACTAACATTTTGTAATGGATGAATTATCATCCTATTAATCGACAATACTGCGTACAATTAAAAGATTTACCGGAAGAATTGGTTATCATATCAATCAACAAATGCATATGTCATATCATTTCAATTTGAATTTAAATTTCAAATTTTGCACATATGACATGTTTCTAACCCTATTTATGTATACACTGATAATGTATAAAAGATTTAGTCTAATTTTTATATCAATTTTTATGAGAAAGGCTATTTATGGAAGCCAATATGTATTTTTTCTATTGGAGTCTAATAAGCAAAACATATTCTTTTTGGGTTGGAAGGTAATAAGCAAAAATGTGTTTGTAATAGTACTGGAGCTCCCTCCATAAGGACACTTTGGGGCTGTAACACAAGCTTTTTACAGTGTTACTAACGGTTGAAGACGTCGGGGGCGTTTTGCCTAACGTTTGCTCATTCGGGGGTTAGATTGCTATTTGACCAAATCTCAGGATTTGATTCGTAATTTGACCAAACCACAAGGAAGATAAATGTGATTAATCCTTTGTTAATCAAGTCATAAGTTTTGCTTGAAACTGTAGTAAGGATTGTATTAAAAAATGGTAAGTTTTACTAGTGAATTAACAAGATTCGTTAATGATGTTGTAAATTTTACTAAAAAAAAGTGACAAGATTTGTTAATAAAATCATTACTTTGCTTTAAAAAGTAGTAAGTTTTATTTAAAAAAAGACAAATTCTAAAACAAAATGATAATTTTTTTGCTAAAAGTATTTGTTATTTAAATAGTAAGTTACATAAATTATGAAACTTACTTGTTGTATGGAAAAACTCACTGTTTAATTTACTACCACAATTTATTTTTATGAAAGAAAGTTATGTCATATATTGTCAAATAGTTTGTAAAGCAGTGCACAAGCACAGGTAAATTTTCTGGAACCGTTTAAATTAACTGGACGAATTCAAGGCCCTTCTTCCACAACTCTCTTCAGGGCTATTGGTTCTTTTGGCCTTTGATCACTGTGTGTTAATAATTCAAAAAAAAAAAAAGAAAGAAAGAAAGAAAGAAACTTGACTTCCCAAATATAACATTGCAAGCAACATTTTATGAGTCTATGTTTTTCCTTTTCCTACAAACTAAAAGATGAAACACCAAAGAAAAAGTTTTAGAATATTTACCTTCTTTAGACTTCCAAAAGCACTGGTAATTACAGGAAGTTTGTGCATGAAAATAGTGTAAAGAAGAAAGACACACATTAAGATAACTCTTGCACAAGTTTTTGGATTTTGTTTTCCTTTCGGCTTGATATCCAAAGCTATTTCTAGACCTAATGCCAATGAAAATGGGCTGCGTGTAACAACAATACGCAAATTGTATCAGACAACCATTTGAGGCAAATTATACTATTCTTTTGCTACGCCCTTTCTCTATCGGGAAGTAACATAACCAAGTTTTTTTTTTCTTTTTCCTCGTCTCTTCTTAATATTTGTTGCAAAAACAAAAACTATTTTATGTTTTACCATGTTAATTAATTGAGTGTATGGTTCTTTGTCGAGGAAAAACAGAAGCAAGTCACAAGTTTCTGCACTACTCTGACTGAAATACAAAGAAAGGAGAGACAAGTGTATCTTGCATGTATGCATGGGCATGCTCAGCTAGCTTTAAGCATCATATCAATCTGTAGCAGCATTGACGAAGATTTTGCGAGTTGAGATTATAAAATGATAAAATCCATTAAACATCATCGAACCAGAAAAGAACATGGAGAAAAGTTTAGACATAGACTCTGATAGTGCTTGCCACTGCAGTTACGAAGTTCTGGCCAGCTGCATCAAGTCAAACCGAAAAAAAAAAATTGGGAAGCTCCAGAAATTGCTTTGAAAAAACCTTGAAATCAGACTCCTTGTGAGGGAATTGACTCTGTTTCTGAGGGAATTGGCTCTTCTTAGCCAATCCATGCATCACCACATTGTTCAATAACTATCTTTAGATCTTCATTTCCCATGTCCATCTGTTCTTGTTGAATTTTCTCCACTGAACTGACAACAGACTCACCACACCGTCCCACCTCGATCGCTTCAAGAGTCGGACATTCCCCTAAACAAGAAGGCACCTCTTCCAGCTCTCGACAATTATACAATACCAATTGCTCAAGACGGGGAAAATTATCAGAAGCAGCAGTCCATCTGCGAAAGTCTAAGCGTGCCAATTTCAAGACCCGAAGGCTAGGGAACTCCCCTTCTTCCTTTACCCATTCTTCCCCAGCAAAGGCTTCATGCTTTAATTTGAGCACTTGAAGATTGGGCAACTTTCCAATCGTTGAAATTTCACTCCATGGCTGCTTATTATCTGAGACAGTCAATTTCTTCAAATTCCTTGGGAATTTAAATCCATATCCTGTAAAATAAGACAGATTAAGTGATTCTAGCTGACTCAAACAGTCAAACTCTAGAATCCCTCCACCATTTCCGATTCTGACACCCGTTATTGAACATTTTAGCCTGCGGATGCTTGGTAACTTTGTCAGTATCTTTTGCAAGCTTTGAGAGGAGGGATCAATGGCAAGGTTTAAAGTGTCTAGATGATCTAAACATGGGGATACTTCAAGATTTTCAACAGGAAAAGCAAAACCGCCATTGGTAGTATAGTAGAGATGCCTCAGTGTCTTAATGTTCCAGATAGTCTTCGGTAACAAAAAATATCTTGAGTATCCTCTTACCAGAAAAGTTTGTAACCTTGAAAGGTTGGATATTTCAGGTGGGATGCTATTTATTCCTGTAATATAAAGAGCTAAGTATCTCAAGTGAACAAGCAATACTACTACCATCGGAAAATGTGCATCAAACTTCAAGTTCCTTAAATCCAGCACTCTGAGAAGTTGAGGTAACCAAAGGCTGAAAGCATCCTCTTTAAACAATAACAAACTGCGTAAATTGGGAAAAAGTAGCATTAAATCCCAAGTCATCAAATTTCTGGCATTTTGATCACAAACTCGGTGGCGGTTGCTTGGGATAGTAAGAATAATGGGATCATTCTGACTATGAATAATATGTAGAAAATTTTCTTCTTTGGCTTTTTCTACACAAAACTCATGTACCAAATCATGAAGTCGGCAGGCTTTGGCACCACCCCTAGTTCTGTGTTCAGAAACCATAACTAGACTTCTATCAACCAGATCCTTCAAGTACTCATCTGCCACATCCTCTAGGCTCTTTTCTTCAGTCTTCTGCACAAATCCTTCAGAGATCCAAAGCCATAACAACCTTCGAATTGGAACATTTTTGTCTGCTCGAAATGCACTAAAGTAAAGAAGGCATGGCTTCAAATCACCTGGTAAATGACTATAACTCAACTCAAGTGTCTTCATGCAATATTCGTCGTCAAGGACAATACTGGAACTTAGACTTTTTGCAACTTCTTGCCAGCAATTTTGACCAGTAGTAGCAAGAATTCCAGCAACAAGGACAACTGTGAGAGGTAAGCCCCTACAGGATTTTGCTAATTGAAATCCAACTCCACTTAGTTTTGCAGGACAACCTTCTTTGCCAAATAGCTTGTTTTGCAGCAATTTCCAACTCTCTTCATCGGTAAGGGGGCGGAGATGGTGAACTTTGCTATCAAGTTTGAGTTGCAAAAACAAATTCTGCAATCTGCTCGTTATAAGAATCCTACTTCCATTGGCATCATCTGGCAATGATTTTTCCAACAAATTCCATGCCTCAACGCCCCACAAATCATCCAACACTAGGAGATACCTATTTCTGAGCAAAGCTTGTTTTAGCTTTAGAGCCAGATCACCTTCATTCTCCTCTGGATATTGTTCGGGACTCCTAGAATCAATACTATGCAATATCTGAACTAACAAGTTGTGTGTGCTATATATTTGAGAAACAGTGCACCAAGCACGAATATGAAAGTGCAACTTTACTGAAGGAGAACTATAAACCATATTGGCTAATGTGGTCTTACCGAGCCCAGGCATACCAACGATGGGAACAACACCCAACTTCCTTGATCCTCCAGTGAGTCTATCAGTGATAGTTTTCACCTCGTCATCGAGACACACAAACTCTTCATTTTTCGTGGCCGCAATAACTTGTGATGACACACAAGTGAAAGTCTCGGTAACTCTCTTGGTTTCGCCATCATAGCTTATGCTACCATAGATCTCTTGGGCTTCAGTCTTCATAAGATTGATATCTGTAGCAACATCATCCAAACAACATTCACGTTCATCACCAACAAGTGTCCAGTCGATCACTAACTCTGCTTTATATGCAGCCTCCATAACACGACTCCAGAAAGCTTGGATTTTTTTGCTCTGATTGCACTGCTCCTTGATTTTTTCCAGGAAAGATCTTAAAAATTCAAAATCTTTTTGGATTTTCTGGATTTTATCCACTGGAAAAGCAATTGAACCATTGATTTCATCACAACTTGCTAGTTTCTTTAGATTTTTTAAAAAAAAATCCATAGAGCCCAACTCATTGATCCTAGGAAAACCAAATCCCGAAACTGATGTTAGTGGATAGACCTGTGTAACTTCTGCCCTAATAAGCTTGAGCACTTTGAGCAAATGAAGAAGAGCAAGATCTGTTTCGTTGGCCAAGCCTTCTTTGATTAACTGATTCACAGAAAGGGAGAAAATTACGATTGCTGCATCACGGACCACAACTGCAATAAGAGTCTTCATTTCATGGCGTAGCTCTTTGAACTTCTGCTGATGCCTGAGAAGGATTGTCAGGAATCTTAACCCCTCAAGGAGTTTTAGCATTCGTTTCATAATCGGAACCAGAATACTGGTACAAGATTGTACTAGCTCCGTGATAATGTGAACGAGACAATCCATGAAGTCAGCCACTAGATGCTTATTCTTCTCTAGAGTTGAAGTGTTTGAGGAACTTGATAACTTTGAAGCAGTCAGGACATGGAAATAAGTTTGTCGGACTTGGGGACTACTTGGATAAATCTTCTCACGTATCAGTCGAGAGATTTGAAGTTCCATTTCCTCGCATAGCTTTTCATCATCTCCGTGAAACCAGCATTTATAAATCAGGCGTAATGCATTGAAAGCTACCACTTCAGCGTGAATCAAGAGATCTATCAATTGCTGACCCTCGACACCGTGAAGCATGGAAAAGCCAATGAAACACTTCAAGAACATTAGCTTCTCTTTAAGGGCTTTCACCAGAACAATCAACGCTTTACGAAATTTGTGCCTTCCGGAGAGAAGATCCTCCAGATTCTCTGAAACCGAATCAATGAAATCAATGACTGGTCCTGGATCTCTCAGCCAGTAATAGTCCAACAAAAAGTCAATCCACGATTCCTTGATATCTGTCTCGAAAAACAACTTGATTGCTTTCCTAAATATGGTGAGCTCACTTGCGACCCATATCAAACGTTCTGGACCAAGATACCTCTTGTCTTCGATGCGAGCCGATTCAAGATCTACCATTTTCCTGATAATCAGTTGTTGAATTCTGAAAGAAGTAACATCCTTCTCCTCCTCATTTTGTTCCAAACAGGTTTCACGGTTCCTCCTCCTCCTCCTACACTTTGTGAGATACAGATCAAAGGTTTGTAGCAGTCTCACCTCGCCCTTCAGGTCCGAGATATTATTATGCGGCGAATAATAATGTCTGGGGGCCTCATACAACCAGCCTAGATAATCCAGAGCGGAATGAAAGCAACTAGTGCTACTACTGGAAGGTATCTCCATTATAGTATCTTCTACTGATTCTGAGATCAGATTGGTATCTTGAATAATAAACTTAGTTCAAGGTTTACAACTTTCTGATTATCTGAGAATAGTGAAAAATATAGTCGGCGAGAGTCTCTTCCTTCTGTTCTTGGTGCAACATGCGAGACACTTCCAGTTGTCTTCTTGTGTTGGTGGAGACTTTAGGTCACTTCCCCAGGGCCTATACGAGTCAGCTTTTGTCTACTTTCGGCCAAAGTGCCTTTCATGTCCAAGTAATGCACGTTTTTAGACCACATAGAAACGATACCAATTCGAGGTAAATAAATCTAGATAGATGCTAAAGCAGTAAATGGTCATAATACGTAGTGTTCATTTTTTATGTCTAAAAGAAAATTGTAGAACAGGTTATAATACTAAAGCAGTAATCAGTTATAATTTTAGCAAAATGGAAACACTTTAGTGAAAGCTGCTCACGTTAATTCCATCATTATCCTTGTTAATGCCAACTCTATAAGAAGCTTGAAGGCACCTAAAACTCCAGACACGTTAAGGTAACAATTCTTAGAAATCTAGGAATTGACTGTTCTTTGGACTCCGGTGTAGGGCTCGGGGAAAAAAAAACCATAGCAATTAGATCGCATAAAGCCATCAGCAAGACTAAATTGCTAAAATCATCTATGGGACAGGAGCTTGCCTGGTAAACTGACAGCCATAACAATGAAAATTCACCGTGGTTAACAATGAAATATTATCCCAATCAGGGACGGATCCAGGATTTTAGTTTACGGTAGCAAACCATCAAAGATATAATAGCAAAAAATATATCATATTAAATAAAGCATCCTAAGTGTAAAATAAAAGTCCAATAGACGATAACTAAGAATACTTTTCTTTTTTTTTCTAATTAAGGCTAAAGTATAAAGGAAAATGTGAAAATTAGGCTCTGTATCATTCTATTTACTATCAATGCTAGGCAGTCAAAACTATATTCGAAACTTCTTTAATTTGTAGAATAGTTAAATATTCTTTTGTTTGCCTTTGATTTCCTATGCACATAACATAGTATTAGCTTACTTACTAATTTCAAGTTATAGTAACCGAGGAAACTAAGAATTGGCTTGTTATGAGACACTAGCTTAAAAGAAAAAATTAATGTTTCTTTAATTGCTATTTAAAAGTAACAATATACTTTTATGAGGAAACGACTGGTTAATTTGGTATAGGACACTTCTAAAAAGAAATTGAGGAAAATAAATAAATTAAATACTAATAATCATATTTAGGGGGACAATTGATTCAATTTTATTTAATACCAACTACTCCCTTCGTTCCAAAATTTATTTTTGTCGTACTTTCTATTTTGGGATGTCCCAAAATGTTTGTCTTGTTTAAAAAGTTAAAGCTCCTTTTGGTATTTCTTTTTCAATATTGTCCCTGCTTTTTAATCAAAAGCCTGTTACATTCAAATTCAAAATTTGAATTTTGAGGGATAAGATTGGAAAAAATGTTCAAACATCACAATCAAAACGCTATTATTGATAAATGTTGGATGCCTAAAACTCGACCAAAATTTTGGGATGAAAGGAGTAATCATGCTATTGAGGCTTTTAGAATTTTGAAAACTTTTAAGGCGCCCCTTCTATAATTGATTCCAACATAGAATTTTCCAGCTGAACACATGAAAATTGAAGAAATTAAGCATCGCTTATAAAAATTTATTTGCCCACCATCTTAAATAGTAATCCACACTTCAAGCTTCTAAAGTTTCCAGATATATTACCCACTTTTTACCTTTCTTTCCATAGTTTACTTAAGTAAAATAATTTGAAGATGACAAGAAACAAAAGGCCCCCAGTGGTAAACCATCCGAGCCACCTCTCCCAAAATGGAAAATATGATGTGGACTGTCAATCCGCAAAGCTGGCAGCAAGAACATTTTTTTAAGTTTTTTGACGGCTCGTGAAAACCAGCTCCGCGCATCACTAAATACAAAAAATAGGTCCCTGGATTGCCAACTAAGTGATAGGCCTGGGCCGCTGAGAACCCGCCTGGACTTGTCAAAGATCGAACCAACTTTGTCCACACTGCCACCAAGAGGAGGACTTGAATAGTAAAATTTGGTAAAAAAAAAAAAAGAATGGTAAAATTTGGGAAAATAAAACTTAAATCGTCAGAAATGCCCTTCTATAGTCATGCTTGTTAATTTACTGCAAATTTCGTATTGAAATAAAAGGTTGCGAAACAAAGACAAGCAACAATAAAAATACTTTCAAATTATTGCTGCCAAATTTCAATTTATTCAATAAAACTAATATTTTTTTTTGGCTTTATCAAGCTACAAAACTATTTTTATTTTAAGGTGTGCAAGCAAATATTTACAGTGAAAAAGAAAATGAATAAATCTCAGCTATTAGAAAAGTACATATATTGCGGTTAGAGCTGCATATATCATCTTTGTTTTTGACATATGCTGCCAATAGAATTTATGCCTAAATTGGCACCAAATTTATATGGCTGTCTTGTTACCAATGATGCTTAGATTTTTTTTTTTTTTTTTTTTAAGATTGTAGGTCAAATTTAACTTTTTCGAAAGAATTTCATACTCATCATTGCTTAATTTAGAACTAATTATGTGATGGCCCCTATTTGTTAATAATGATGCTAGATTTTTTTTTCCTATTTTTGGATTATAGAAAAAAAGGGCCAACACTTTTTCTGTCAAAATATTTTGACAATAACCATAAGCAATGATGGTAGAATAGTCAATTGACCATTGGTATGCCCTTTATTGGGTTCCATCTAGCTAATTGGGTCTTACCAAACAAAAAAAAACCTAGCTAATTGAGGAGAAAAGTGATAATTTTAAAAATTTAGAGAAGCTCAGTGATATTGTTATAAACTTGATGGGAGGTTCATAAAATTATCCCTATCTAGAAGTACTCCCTTAACATTTTTGTGATTGCCTAAAAATCCGTATCTAATATTTCTTGGACAGTCTAAAATAGGAGGAGTTCAAGATGAGCCCAATCCGTCATGTATACGCAGCCATGGGACCTCCCTACCGAAGTCTAACTCATTGAACCAATCAGGCCAAGTTAACTGATTCCCATTTTTCTTTCTTTGTTAGTATTCCTATGAAAGTAAAGAAAATATAAAAACAATATATTTTTGTTGAGAATATATGAAATATGGATTGGAGTTTGTTGTTATTTAAACCAACTCCACTTGAGTACCAATTTTCTTTGGCGATCTTGTCACTATGATGCTCAAATTATTTCTTTTCTTTTTTTTTTAAGATTGTAAGTCAGATTTAACTTTTTTTTTTTTTTGGAAGTATTGTCATAATAATTGGTGCCTAAGTTAGAAATGAACATGTGATTGCCCATGTTCATTAACAATTCACGAGTGATAAAATTTACAAATTTTAGTTGGTTGCGTATTAACATTAGGCCTCCCTAAGGAGTTATATGGCTTGAAAAGAAGAAAGAAAAGAATGAACACTAGAGGAACCAGAAAATTGAGATGAAAAATGGCAATAGTGAAAAATAGGAATAATGAGAATGATAAGACTGAAAAAGAAATGGACATGATTTATTTTCCACAGGTTACTTGGAGTCTACGTGGCAGTAGCTATTAAAAAGGGAATAAAATTTACAAATGAATCATTTTGGGTTATTATTTTTTGATAAGAAGCTTATTTTGGCAAAAAACTCAGAATTTTGATTATTGCAAATTAAATTCCAAAGACAGACACTAAGCTGACCTCACTCACTAATAAGAGCATATAAACACAATGAAATGGGATTAATGCAATAGCAACAAAATGGCACTTTGCAAAGATTGCCAAAATAGGGAGAGGGAAAATCAACAATAATCGTTTGCACTTGGGTAAAGTACACCATCTGAAATGGAGCATCATAGAATAGATTATCCAAATGAATGGATTATGAATTTGGACCATCTTTTTTTAGTGTGCTTATCGAAACCTTTTTTGGGATACAATTTTGTTAGGATACTTTGATGAGTAAGAACACAGGAGTTGTATTCTAGTTATCTAGCTTGAGTCTTGCCCGTCTGATCGGGACTGTATGTTTAGAAGAATAGATTATGTTAAGTTGTACACAAAATGATAAGGCATGTTCTTAAATGGTTTTGAACGCTTGATTTCAGTTTCTGATCAAATGATTTTGAACACTTGATCTTTGTGTCCCTATCGAAACCCTTTTTGATTAGTTGTGTGACATTAGCCGTGGAATCATGAAAAGTAACAGCAAAATGTAGGAAAAGTATAAAAGAAACCACAAAAAATAACAGCAAAATGTTTAGATAGCTAAATTGAAGAACAAGGGAGGTTAGAAATAAAGAAGTTAAGATGTGCTGAAATATAGTTGGGACTGTTGGAGATGATAATGATAGATAATGAATAGTCCATATTCCACACGGTTTATGGACTAGACCACAGCAGTGAAGGCGGGTCACCTTCAATCAACACTATCACAGCTACAGATGGACTGAGTTGCTCAGATCAAGACCTGTTCAATTTACACTACCAAACAGAAAACTCAAAAAATGATTATAGAATATTTAGATAAATTTGCCCATGCATGCACCTTGTGGACATGATCAGAAATGCCTTCAATTCAATTGCAATTTATCTGGGATATAATTCAGTAATTGAGACTTCATTTACAGACGGCCCTGGTAGCAATTTGGTGTTGGTAGATGTGCCTGATTCTGGTTGATCTATAGGCAAGTTTTGTGTTCTGCTACGACCAAAATATGCAGGAGGGTTTGGGACAGGCAGCGTTACAGAGTTGCTATTCAGCATGAGAACAACTGAAGCCATGGTCGGCCTTTGCTCAATTTCGTCTTGAACGCATAGCAATGCCACATGGATGCTCTTAATAACTTCATTTCTTTCATATGAATCTCCCATTTTTGGATCCATCAATGCTAATGGCGTTCCATCCCTCCATTGTCTCCATGCCTGCAACATGATGCATTGCAAGTAATGATAT